CACTGGGGTGGGGGTGGGGCTGCCCTTTTTCTCATGGGGCCTCCCCTGAGGCAGCAAAGCTTATGAAAAACTTGACTCCTGACAGGGAGGAGATGCCTCGAGGAGGACAGGCCCTTCTTTGCTCCATCGGCTGGACCAGCATTTGCCTAGCCCACCCCACACTCTGTGGAAGACATCTTGACAGTCAAGGGATCTTGACAGTAGTGGAGAAGATGGCTGCCTCTCTGTTTGACCTGGGAACGTTGGCTTGGACAAGAAACAGGGCCACGTCCCAAGTTCCCTTCAGGCACGGGGGGCGTCACAGAATAGAATGAGGTCAGAAGGCGTAGGAAGCCATACAGCCGCCCCTAGAAAACGTGCAGGCTTCCGGGCGGGGCCCGCTGCTCTGTGATCTGAAGGCTTTGAATACAGGCCCTCACATCCGCTCTAGTCACTCAGAAACGTGTCAAGCTTTCAGACCACCACACAAAACTAACACCTACAAGGCACTATGTGCCAGTGGTCATGCATTACCTCACCAAGTCGTGATATAGTTCAATAATCCTCAATTTTAGAGATGAGGAAACCAAGGCACAGATGGAGGAAGTGATGTGCCTGGAGATCACATTGTTAATAAGTGGCGGAGCTGCCCTGGGCCCCAGACTATCCAGTTCTAGAGCCATACACCACAGGTGCTCGCTCTTTTTGGTGACTCCTTCTATGACAGTCATCAGTACCCTATGACCCAAATCACAATTTCATTCATTCGATCAATATTTACTGGGCACCTTCCATGTGTCAGACATTGGGCTAGGTACTTAGGAAGCAGAGATCACCACAGAGTCCTTGCTGCCATGGAATTTAGAATCTAGAGGGTGGAAGGAGACACGGAAGAGAATATATAAATGTATCCATCCAGTGGTGACAAACACTAGAAGAATAAAATAAAATAGTGTAAGATGACAGAGGGTGGCAGGGTGGGGGCTTCTATTTTTTAAAGAGATTGTGCAGAGAAGGACTGCTGGCTGAAGAGGTGACATTCCAATGGAGACCTGAATGAAGAAAAGGGGAAGTCAGGCAGTTATCTGGGGAAAGAGCATTTCAGGGAGGTGCAAAGGGCCTGAGGCAGGAGTGTACTTGGCACATTCTACAAACAGCAAGGAGGCTAGATTGGATTGAGTGGCGTAGGAGGGGGTTGGAGATGAAATCAGGAGGAGAATGGGGTCCCATTAAAGACTTTGGATTGGATTCCAAAAGACAGGAAGCTACTGGAGGGTTGTGAACAGAAGAGAGACAGGATGAGACTTTCCTTTTAGTGTTATCATTCTGTTGGCTATCTTGAAAACAGACTGAAGGGGGGCGAAAGGGGAAGCATGGAGACCAATCAGGAAACATAACTCCAGGGGTGAGATGATGGTGTGGTAGCAGCAGAGGTGGAGAGAAGTAGTCAGAACTTGGATATATACTTTTTTCTAATGTTTGTTTTGAGAGAAAGAGCATGTGCATGTGTGCACACAAGTGGGGGAGGGGCAGAGAGAAAGAGAGGGAGAGAGAATGCCAGAAAGCTTTGCACCCCCAGTTCAGAGCCTGACGCAGGGCTCCATCTCATGAACTGTGAGATCATGACCTGAGCCGAAATCAAGAGTCTGACACGCTCAACTGACTCAGCCATCCAAGTGCCCCAGAACTTGGATATATTTTGAAGGTAAAACTGACAGAATTTGGGGCCACCTGGGTGGCTCAGTCAGTTAAACATCTGACTTTAGCTCAGGTCATGATTTCGCCGTTCGTTTGTTTGAGCCCCGCATCGGGCTCTGTGTTGACAGCTCAGAGCTTGGAGCCTGCTTCAGATTCTGTGTCTCTCCCTCTCTGTGCCTCTCCCCTGCTTGCTTGCTCTCTCAAAAATAAATAAACATTAAACAAATTTTCTTTTAAAAGGAGTAGTAACCAGAGAGGAAGGAGTAAAACCAAGAGTGTGTGTCATGTTACAGAACCCAAATGAAGGAGGGTTTTTAAAAAAATTTTTTGGTTATTTAGTTTTTTTTTTATTTTAAAATTTTTAAATGTTTTATTTTTTTCTGAGAGAGAGAGAGAGACAGCGTGAGCAGGGGAGGGTCAGAGAGAGAGGGAGACACAAAATGTAAAGCAGGCTCCAGGCTCTGACCTGTCAGCACGGAGCCTGACACAAGGCTTGAGCCCACCAACCGTGAGATCGTGACCTGAGCCGAAGTTGGACGCTTAATCGACTGAGTCACCCAGGCACCCCTCTTTTTTTTTTTTTTTTCTTAATTTTAGAGAGCTTGAGAGCGGGAAGGGGCAGACGAGGGGAATCTTTTTTTTTTTTTTTTCTATTTTGAGAGAGAGCCCAAGCAGGGGAGGGGCCAAGAGAGAGGGAGACACAGAATCCCAAGCAGGCTTCGCATTGTCAGTGCAGAGCTGAACATGGGGCTTGAACTCACAGACTATGAGATCATGACCTGAGAGCCGAAATCAAGAGTTGGATGCTCAACTGACTGAGCCACCTGGTCACCCCGTGTGAAAGAGAGGGCAGCCAACTGCAGCAAATGTGGCAGGCAGGTCAAACAAACAAACAAAACAAGATGGAGTTAGGGAAAGACAGCTGATTTGGCAAGTGGAGGTCACAGGCTAACCTTGTCGAGAGTGGTTAAGGAGCGATGGCCATGAAAGACCGAGTGGATTGAGTTCCAAAGAGCAGCAGAGGAACAGGACAGCATGTGCATGGGTACAGTTTTGAGACTTGCTGCAAGATGAAGCAGAGAAATGGGGCACTCAGCCAAGAGGTGGTTGTATCAGGCGAGCAGGACAGAGGAAGAAGGAAAGGACTACGGGTAGATGGCACTTTCAAGGGAGTGACTGTAACGCATCTAAGCCAACATGTGCAGAACGAAAAGCCAAATAGCTGAGGTCAGCTGACTTGCCCGGGCATGAAGAGCTTGGGGTTTTGACTCTTCCAAGGAGCTGCTTAACCTCCTCTGAGACCCACTTACCCATTTATCAGCTCTTACTACATGTCAGTTCCCAAAAGGACTCCGCCCCTCCCACTGGGTCCATTGCCAACAGCAACTCCACATCATTTCCTTTAGTATCTGCTGCTCCCACACCGCCTTCCGCTTAAACTCACAAAGGTCTCGGAGAAAATCACGTCACCTGACGGGACAGATCATTTCTAGGAGAGCAGTAAATCCTGCAAAGGTGAATACGTCAGGTATACACCAACTCCCCGTCCAGGCCCAAAGAGCAGAGCCAGAGCGATGGCTTCTGAAAAGAGGGGAGATCTTTCCCCACAGGCAGAGGCCCCACCCGGCAACTTTGCACAAAACAAACAATCGTTTGGGGGCTTATATACGCATCCTCCAGTGGGGGGCCAGGTACCAGGCAACTACAGTAGAGACTTCTTCCCCCTCCCCCAACAGAGCGTTTTTAAAACTCAACCAGGCCCTGGTGTATTGCACATTTCAAAATGGTGTTTGGAGGGGCGCCTGGGTGCCTCCGTGGTTAGGCGTCCGACTTCGCCTCAGGTCTTGATCTCGCCATTCATGAGGTCGAGCCCCACATCGGGCTCTGTGCTAATCCTCTCTCTCTCCCTCTACCCACCTCCTCTCCCCCACTCACACTCAGTCTCTGTCTCTCTCTCTCTCAAAAGTAAATAAACACCAAAATGGGTGTCTGTGAAAATGTTTTAACTTCTTTTAAAATTGGAAGAAAACACGAGTGTAATAAAATAATGAATAAGTAAAAATGGATCCAGCCTGGATTAAATTTGTTTTTGTACCAGTGCAGTCACAAACTGTCCTCTCTGGTATCTGTAGCGGCGGGGGGAAGAGGCCCTACTCTGGCGCTGCCGACTTAATGTTTCCGGCTTTCACCAAACCTGGCCATTTTCTTTTCTTTTTCTTTTTTGAATTTTGCTTAATATTTTATTTATTTCTGAGAGACAGAGAGAGACAGCATGAGCAGGGGAGGGGTACAGAATCTGAAACAGGTTCCAGGCTCTGAGCTTCCAGCACAGAGCCCGACACGGGGCTCGAACCCACAAGCTGTGACATCATGACCTGAGCCGAGGTCGGATGCCCAACCGACTGAGCCACCCAGGCGCCCCCAAACCTGGCCATTTTCATAAGCACTCCTTGCGTGCAACCCACGCCCCTGATGCCATTAAGGGTGGGGAGAGGGGTGCAGCGAGAGTCTCCATGGACCACCCCTTAAGCCCTGCCCTTGCACACCAGATCTTCTGCTACTAGTTGAAAGGAGGCTGGGTGCACCTACACGGGACATACTGTCAGCCCAGTAGTGGTAGTAGTAGTAACAGTGAACCCAGCATTTAACACAATTAAGGAGATAATGAAATAGGTTAACTGGCTTAATTAAACAGGGCTGATTTTCACTCTACACTTCTTTTTAAAATTTTTTTCATGTTTCTTTATCTGAGAGAGAGAGAGAGAGAGAGAGAGAATGTGAATGGGGAGGGGCAGAGAGAGACAGAGACAGAGTCTGAAGCAGGCTCCAGGCTGAACTGTCAGCACAGAGCCCGACGCAGTGCTCGAACCGCGAGATCATGATCTGAGCCCAAGTCTGATGCTACAGCCGACTGAGCCACACATGTGCCCCAGTGTTGACACTAAACTTCTTTTTTTTTTAATGTTTTTTATTTATTTCTGAGAGAGAGAGAAACAGCGTGAACAGGGGAGGGTCAGAGAGAGAGAGGGAGACACAGAATCGGAAGCAGGCTCCAGGCTCTGAGCCGTCAGCACAGAGCCCGACGCGGGGCTCGAACCCACAAACCATGTGATCATGACCCGAGCCGAAGTCGGACGCTTAACCGACTGAGCCACCCAGGCGCCCCAACACTAAACTTCTAAGTAAAGGGTGCAGCATCTCATTAACAGTGTGACTTGCGGTCAGCAGATACACGCGTGTGAGTGCAAAGGCGTCAGAGAACTGGTCCTTTCCCTGATAGCCTCGACCGAGAATTCCGGCTTCCTCCCTCCCAACCTGCTCACCATTCCTCAGGATCACATCTGCACTCTGGCTCAAGGGGCTCAGTTCCTGGGGGCTCTTGACATTGCTCAGAGCTCTGGAGAAGTGTTCGTCCACGACGCTGCCGATGTCCCCTTGGAAATAGGTGAAAAGGACGCACTGGGAATTCCACTCCGTCTTTATAGGTCTCTGCAGCTGGATAGCAGTCTTGCCCATTTCTTCCATCGTGATGGCCACAGATGATAGCTGCAGATCGAACACAGGACGATACTGGCACTATTTTTCCGAGTGGCTTGGCTACAGTTTGGATGAGAGGCCCTGGGTGGAGGGGGGGAAGAGCCGCAAAAGCTTTCAGTTCGCTTCCAGAGAACTCCTGAGCCTGAGCGGTACCACACAGCTCATCCAGCACCATGCGCTGGTCTGAGCACCAGGAGAGGAGCCCTGTGGGATCGACGTTAGGGAACAAGGCAGAGTCTACAGAGAGCTGAAGGGGGTCCTCGAGAGAGCCTCAGATGAGAAAGATCTGGCAACTCCACTCTAAGAACAGCGGGACGTTAAAAAAAAAATAAAGCCATTGAGGTCCCAACAGTAACTTGCCTCCTGGGGAAGTGCCTTCCTCCTACAAAACAAATGAGCCAGATTGACCCAGAGCTGCTTATAGATCCGCGCCCTCTCCCTCCCACCCCACAGTTTGACTAAGTAATCCAGTAGGTATTCAAAGATTTCACTTTTCATAATAAGCATTGACCACTTTCGTGCAAGAGAATGAGACACAAATTATCCCCCCCCCCATGCTGCTGATCTACATATGATGGTGTCCCGGACCCAGCCCCCCCACTTCACGCTAGAAACGCTTAAAATTAAAAACAGCCCTGGCCCCAAGGACTCCAGACAGATATATTCTGGGCCAAATACAGATCTCAAAAAGCAAACACTCTCTACGCTAATGTATATGGCACCATGGGTGAAAAGCCCCTGAAACATAGCCAGAACGTCAACCCCGCTCACCGCCAGATGCTTCGCACCTAGAACCATGCCTGAGACACAGTGGATAGCTGTTTGCTGAGTTGCCTTAAACTTGGCTTCCATCACTGTATCCTAACTGTGAGCTCCTTCGGAGCAGAAATTGTCCCCTCGCACCAAAGGCAGGACTGGGCACACAGTGGGCCCTCAAAGCCTGCTGCGTGGCCTTGCTTAACTGGAGAAGTAGCCTGTCTGGATGCTTCTTCAGCTTTGGCCACCCAATGCGACTTGCCAGGTGCTTGGGCTAAAGGCACTTTTATTCACTCCTGTGAATATGATGAAAATGATTACAGTTTAATAGCCTAATGTTCTTCCCTAGTCCTTGAGGGTGGGGGCCATTTCGTATTCATTTCTTTATCCGGAGCACCTAGCATAAGTAGGTCAGTAAACAATGGCTGAATGCCTGAATGCCATTTCATGCAGAGAAAGCACAATGCAAGGAAATCATACCAATTAGGAGTCAGAAGACCTGGGGTTTTCCTCCGCTGTGTGACTTGGGGGGAAGCACATAACCTCTCTGGGATTCAGATTCCTCTTGGGTAAAATTCAGAGGTTGGAGGCAATTAATTCTGCAGCCTATTCTTTTAGGTTCTTAGTGTCAGTCGATTGTGACAAGGACTTGAGGAAGGAATCTGGCAGTGAGCAGGGGACCCTTCTAAAAAGTTCTCCTTTCCCACTCATTCCCGCCACAGTCATAACTGGGTTCCGCTTTATGAAGCCTTCCTAACACAGCCTTCAATTGAGCCCATCGCTCTGTTTCGCCCTGGCGGACAGCCACACGCTAAGTAGGCATCACCAGGCACCACCTGAAAAATGAATCCTTTGCGTCCTTATTCAAAAAAACACGCAAACAACCGCTCCGAAACACCGTCTGGCAGTTACTTATAAAGTTAAACGCATGCTTACTATGTATATGACCCAGCAATCCTTTTTCTAGGTCCAGAGAGCCAAGAGAAGCAAAAACATATGTCCGCTCAAAGACTTTAGGTGGGATATATACAGCAGCTTTATTTATAATAGCCAAAAAATTGAACTGAAACCAATGCCCAGCACCAGGAGTATAAATAAACTAGCTGTGACGCTAACATATATTGGAATGTCATTCAACAGCAAAGAGGAAAAAAACTACCCGTCCACACAACAGCATGAATGAATCACAAAAATACTATGTTGGGTGAAAAAAAAAAAAAAAACAGACACAAAAGACCATATAGTATATGGTTCCCCTTACACGAGACAGGCACACATAGGCTGTGGGGGTAGAAATCAGAATAGGGACGAATCTTGGCATCACAGAAATAAAACAAAGGTGTTATCCTTGAGCACAGTATGAGTTTGGGATGCTGACCCCCCACGCAGTCGGAAATCTGCATATAACTTGAGTCCCCCCAAAACTTAACTATGAATAGCCTACTGTTGACCGGAAGTCTTACTGGTAACATAAAGCCAATTAACACATATTTTGTATGTGTATTATAGGCTGCATTCTTACAGTAAAGTTAGAAAAGAAATGTAAAGAAAATCATAAGGAAGAGAAAATAGTTACAGTGCTGCACTGTAAAAAAAAAAAAAAAAAAAAA